GTGCCATCCGAATTACGGATCAAGCGCATGAGATCACAAGGGATGTGGTTCGCTTCGATGTTCACCAATCGTTTGTGATCGGCCGTTCTCATTACGAGAACATCGATCTGGCGACAATGAGCCAGGGCTTTGCGCCTGTCTACTCTGATGCCGAGCTAGAGGACATCAAGAAGGAAGTGGCCCCTCTAGCGTAGGACTTATCTGCCAAGATAGAGAATGAGATCATCCCCCCAAAGAATTAGTTAGTTAGATAGGCCAGCCGATGAACTTGTAATAAGTGGACAAGTTCTTAACTTTTGTTATGGCCAAACAGACTTTTGGCCCTTCTCCCTTTTTCGTATAAAAAAGGTTAATACATTTTGACCCTTTCCGTTGTTAAGGCTGTAAAGCTTGAGGTGCGGGCGAAAAAACTCTAATTACGCTGGTGAGCAAAAATGACGTAGTTGCAGGGGCATAGGTTTCATACAGTCCAACCGGTTTTACTCAGTGTTTGTTTCCACAACCCTTGCTTCTAGATCTTAACGTAGGAGAGGGTCAGTAGATATACTCTTATCAGCCCCTGAGTAAGGCCTGCCCCCTTGCCGTTCCTGGGGTCGGGTGTCACTAAAGATCGAGGAAACTATAGCGAAATCGATAAGAGAAAGTGTTTTTCGTTTCAGAAACATCATTCTTAATTTTCATAAGTACGCGCATAGATTAGGGGTAAAAGCGATGTAGCTGCTCAATGTTCCAGGCGTTGACGAAGACCTCACCGTCAACGGTCTTGAGCTTGTAGGTGCCCGGTCGGAGCACCTCCACGACGACGTGCGGTCCCTCCCACAGCGGAGAGAGCTTGTGGCGGTTCTTGTTGCTCTAGACGAGGCAGAGCACCAGGTCCCAAGGGCGCATGCTGACTGGCGTCAAGCTTGCATCGCTGAGACAGCAAGCTCTCCGCCTGCTGCACCGCTATGTGCTCGAGCAGCGTGCGGATCTCATGATGGGCCCGATGATCCTTGGGTGTCGCGGGCTCCGGGAGCCCTTATAGCAAGGCCACCACGACAGAGATGTTCTGGCTTGCCCGGGCGAAGTGTGAGAGGGCTCCATCATCTTCGATGATCCTCCGGTTCATGTCGCGGGCCATGGCACGCGCACGCCCACCATCTCCGCAACGCTCGATCTCTTGCTCGAGCTCCGCGCGCTCCTACTCTAGCTGGAGTTGCGCATCCTCGAGTTCCCTATGCCATGCCCTCAGCTGCTCCACCTGCAGGCGAGGCGTCGCTTGGGGGTACCTACCATAAAACATTCTCACGAAGGGTGATGGCTCCCCCTGCTAGAGTCAGAGTCAGAGGGCGACTCTGAATCTCCCATGAGAAGGTCGTGGAAAGATTACACGACGTATTCGGTCATCCCCACGAACTCGTCGTTCATAGGGGATGGGTGCATGCGCTGCACCACGAGGTGGCCAATGGGCCTCGCAGTATTGCGTAGACCGAACGAGAACGCTGTCAGGGCGCTCCGGATGAGGTATTCCGGGGAGAGCGGTTCCTCTCCGGCAAGCTACGTCATGATGTTGGTGAACGAGAAGGTGAGGCGGCGCAGGTCCTCCCGGGACGGTCGAGGTCCCAGGAAGGTATCGAGCTAGCGCTCTAGCCTCCCATAATCGAAGCCGAGGAGCTAGTCGCTCTAGGGGGTGCGAGCCTTCAGCGCGTGCAGCTACAGCTCCTCAAGCGCCTCGACAATAGCGTCGAGTCCGACGGAGTGGAGAGGCTGGATGGTGGCAGAGGCTAATGCCAACTCTCCCTCCGTCGTGACGATGAAATCCAGGTTTTCGTAGCGCACGTGCATGCTTGGGATCCAGCTGACGCCATGACTAGCCATCCAAGGCCTGATGTGGACGTCGAGATGCGCAAAAACCTCCTACCTGGCGCACCAACTGTCGGTGTTTCGGATCACCGGCTAGTAAATTTGTATCTGCGCGTTTGGCCCGGATAGTGTGCTCGAAGGACACAAGGATTTATACTGGTTCGAGCGGAATGTCTCCACGTCCAGTCTGCTGCTGCTCATGTTACCGGCACTGGTTTATAGTAGGGGTTACAAACGAGTGAGGGAGGGAGAAGTTCCCAATTCTCTAGTGAAAAGATCGAATGGAGTTGAGTCTTGTTGAGCTTGTTCATCAGCCATGTGCTTGTTAGCTGTCTCGCTTAGCTGTGTGCTCCTACTTCCCCTTTTATAGGTGATGGGGAAGGCGCAGGTTACAGAGAGAGAAAATAAGAAAAGCGAGGGAGAAGAAGGCCTCTAGGGCCGCCGCGTCCTTCTTCTCCTTCACGCGGGTCCCGTCGACGCTGTAGATGGTGATGGGGATGGCTCTGCGTCGGGCTCCTATTCACCACTGGTGCCATGCCTTGACGTCATCAGCTGGTCGTGGCGCCCCATTCTGTCCCGGTGGACGGCGTGGTGAACCGACGTGCCCGTCAGCGGCCGTACGGGGAGTAGGCAGCACAGTGACCACACACCTGTCACTATTGGCGATGTGAACCCCCGGGCGTGGCCTGATGTGGCCATGGGTCATGTCGAGACGTGCCTGCTTCCCGCCCAGTGTTAGAAGTTTGACCCCGGGGTCATACCTTCTAATCCGTAGTGGTTGGAGATGGTATGGGTCCCCGTCAGGTGAGACGGAGCCCACGTCCCAGGGGTCAGGCGAGATGGAGCCCGTGCCCTCAGGGTCGGGCGAGACGGCTCCTGTTCCCTTGGGGTCGGGCGATACGAGGCCCGTGCCCAAGGGGTCGGGTGAGACGGAGCTCGTGCCCTCGGGGTCAGGCGACACGGGGCCCGTGCCCTTAGGGTCGGGAGACAGGGGGTCGATGCCCAAGGGATCGGGCGAGATGGCTCTCGTACCCTTAGGGTCAGGCGACAGGGGGCCCGTGCCCTCAGGGTCGGGCGACACGGGGCCTATGCCCTCAGGGTCGAACTAGATGGCTCCCGTAACCTCGGGGACGGTCGAGACTGAAATACGTCCTTGATTATCTATGCGAGTTGTCATACGCGGTCCTCGGATCCCTTCTTCAGGTATCCCTAATACCGATACCCAACAGTGGACCACCTCTGAAGATCTATTTTCAGGGGCGGTTCTCTTAAAGCAACCGCCCCTGAAAATGGACGTCTATCAGATGCGGTTTTCTTAATAGAACCGCCCTGAACTTGGATCTTCAGAGGCGGTCATGGAGCTACAGTGCTCACCGGCGCGGTTAGAGGCGGCGTGCCTCTGATAGAAAGGGGTGGCGTCGCTAAAAATGATTTATGTACTAGTGGAAAGATATCGAAACCGATTTTTATGCAAATGACGCTATAAATGATGATTTGGAGAGTAAGATTTAGAAAGACTCTCGGAGATGCTCACCCTATAACTTTCGTGGTCATTTGATTTCCCCCTCATTTATAAAACTATTTTTTTGACAATTTAACTTCCAAAACAATTTGTTTTTGCACGATGAGCTTTTTTTTTTGGTATGGTGGTTTTTGTTGACATGGCAACATGTCAACCATCCTACAAGCGTGACATCAGCTAAGAGGAAGGTAAGTCAGACTACACTACAATGATACTTAGGGGGTAAATCGGTCTATAAAGGACTATTAAAAAATTAAGTATTTAATGAAAAACTATGCAATTAAAAATTCAAAAATCTTGTTTAATAATCTTAAAGAATAATAGAAAATTATGTTTAGCTCAAAAAATATTAAACTAGTTCCCTACATATTTTTTTTAAACATTCTCTATCTTATGGGGATGGTTCCTAAATTAGAATTAACTGAATCTTATATGGACTCCTTTTGTTCTTATTTGTTAGGATATGCTCTCGTTATCTATTATAATTACTTTAAATTAAAGACAATTGGTATTCGTCATATTCGCTTGGCTTATAAGCTATTCTTTTTCAGCCAACGAACAATATTTTTCTCACAACAAATCAGCCAACAGTACTTTCAGCCATAGCTTATCAGCCAAGAGAACAGGGCAATTGATGACAACACAAGTTGAGAGATTTCCCACGACTAGCATACAACCCAGCCCAACCTGTGAACCCACGGTTGTATCGGTATTTTCGGATATACCTAACATTTTTATGTAAAAAGTTGTAGTTTGTAGATAATACTCCCTACGTTCTAAATTATAAGACGTTTTAACTTTTCTAGATATATTATTTTTATTATATAGATAGATATGGTGTATATCTGATAAACACATAGCAAAAGCCATAGCAAATGAAATTTCTAATTCAGCTTAGAAAAAAAGAGAATGAATATGAAGCGTTTATAGTATGATTTTGAATACTCTAAAAAAGAGATGAGAGAGGCGGGAGTGAGGAAAACTTTTGGATATATTCATTCCGATTGAATTGCAAATATATCAACGATAAAATCAATTCAATTCTGAATTGTAATAAGCAAGCGGGGTGTCTCAAATAGAGATGAGTTGCTAGACTACGTCGAATAATGAATTCAATGATTCAAAAAAACTAAAAGATGGATTAAGTTATACAAGGAATTCTGGTTTCAAAAAGAAGTAAAATGGGAAAAATCGACTTTGATTGTATTGAGACTTTGTATGCAACCTGCTAAATCTAGGAAAGCCAAAATATAGTTAAGGTGTCGAATTGCTATTCTGTGACTCTAACTTGACTCCGAACGCACCCGACGGCCCATCCGGCCTTTCCCACTACTCGCTGATTCCTCCGAGAGTCCGAGAGCAAACGCCGGCTGCAATCGGGAACGGGGAACCCTGGCAGCCGGCAGCGTCGCGCTGCCCCCGCCCCTCGCCGCCTCGGCGCGTAGCCAGTGGCCGGCCTCGCTCCATCCAGCAAGCTGACCAGCTCGACTGCTCGAGCTCGTCCTCGTCGTCGCCGATTTGATTTCTCCCTTTCAGCCCAACCTAGGCCCAAAGCCACCAGATCACGGCACTCCGTCCAACCTTCGGCGCCACCGATCCCCTTCTCCGCCGCCTCTCCTCCTCGTCGCCGGTGAAGATGATTCCCCAGAGCCAGAGCAGCTCTCTGCAGCGCCTTCAACACGTCGAGAAGGTAACCTCACGGCCCGCACCCCGATCTCGGTGGTTGTCAGTTCGGTTCCTTAGGCTGGCTGGATGTTTGTTGTGCGTGTGCAGCGGATAGTGCGGGTCCTGGAGCTTGCGGGAGCGGTGATGGAGGAGCTGGGAAACTCTCAGGGCCCTCGCACGGATGCAGTAGGCGCGCACTGCCGCGAGTTCATGATCTCTATGAAGGTAACCAGCCCACTGCCTGCCCTCAGATCGTTAGGCTGCGTGTTCCTGTTGTTACCAGTTATGCGTCTCAATCCTCGCTGATCTCATGCTAGAGAGACTATTGGAAAAATCAACAGTTGTTTTAAAGTGCTGTATGCAAAATTTTGCTCTGTCCAATGTTACTTTGTCTCCATCAAATTGACTATGTAAATATATGCATCTGCTCATCAATTGGTTTTTATTTAACGCAGTATGCATGCCACAAATCATTCATGATAGCTCACTGCTTAATTATGTTTTGGTTGGAGTAGGAAATTCAAACAACATTGCGTGAGGAAATCAAAAGTGCTTGTGAATATCGTCCATTTGAAAAGTGTGATTACAGCGCAAGGATTGCTAATGAGATATGCTGCAAGAAACTGGAGTATGTAATTGAGAAGTTGGATACCATGCAACAGAACCTTGAACAGAGCACTGATGATGTTTAGCGAGCTGGCTACACAGTAGTAAGTGTACCCTTTTTTTGCAATAAAGTGTAAACTGCTTAGCGAATAAGAGGATACTTTATGATGATAGTATCCGCTCAATCAGGTGATTTTGTCAATACTTTGCTGCAGTGGTAGAGTTGGTGAATTAGCTCTTTTCAATTTCTTGGTACTTGCAATGCTACCATTATACACTACATGACTTCCGTTGCATTATTTATTACTCCCTCCGTTCCAAATTGTAGGTTGTTTTGGCTTTTTTAGATAAACAACTTTTATTTTGTATCTAGACATATCGTATATCTAGGTGCATAGCAAAAACTATGTACCTAGAAAAGCCAAAAAGACCTATAATTTGGAACAGAGGGTGGTACGTGTTTACAGGGACTTCTATTTTGGCTCGTAAATTTGCTTGCAGAAGTTCTTTCCATTCGTGTCTTGATGTTTAAACTTCAAGCCTTCGTCTTCTCATCCTCAATGTGTAATTCTGTTGTTTGAGAGGATAATGTTTACACCAGATATTTGTATTTAAGTACACTGCTGATATCGCTTGTTATATGGCTAGCTCTTGTAATGCTTCCATATGTCCGCAAGGGTGGTAATTCTCTCTTTTTTGCCCCATTTTATTCTACAATAATCTTTTCTGGTACTCATCCTTGATGAATTGTCTACCTTCTAAACGGGGATAAGGTGTCCTCTGAGTTGAATTACTCATACTGTGTCGATTACTTTCAGGTTTGGGAGCAACAGATGATTGAGCAGTACGCAGAAGGAATTTAGAAGCATTCTATCAACCTATAATTGCAGGAAGGTTTTGCTCAACTCTGGGACTGTAATCTGTGGTTTGCTTGTATTCCATGTTCTGTGACAGCCCTTAGTTTAGCTGCCTGCTGATGCTCAGTAACATTGATCTTGGCCTGGGTAGGATAGGAGTAGCATCCTTGAGCTTAAAATCGTGGGATTTTAAGGCAGTGTATTTTACTGATTAGAATTTGCTCTTCTGTATTGCATGGACTTGCTTCATCCTTAGAACATGCCTTATGGTATATTGTTAACTCGTTTTTCAATGATGATCTTCATGTGATTGCAATGAATGCTGTTTTGATTTAATTTTTCATGCTGGTTCGACCTCCATTGCATTCGAAGCTCATCATGTTTTATCTGCTGTAAATACTGTGTGGCTATTTAGTCTAGTTTAGAGAGCTGGTAAAACATAAATGAGCCATTTATCTGTCATTAATCTTGAAGTCTATGATATATAAAATGATTGGGTATGCCGCCACACCAACCTCTTGAAATCCAAAGTACATTGAAGATTCATATTCCACTGTATGATTTTCAGTGTATCTTCCAAGTGCATCTTTTTTGTTTGCAGACTTGTTCTTTAATGAAGGTCACCAATTAGGTGGACAACATGTTTTATTTCGAAGATGGAGAGAACTCATCCCTTGAGTCCTATTGGTGTGAGGTCAAGGAGTGTGATGGACACATGAAGTTAGCTGACACCCTTAAGGCTATGTGTTACCCATTTCCCATTTACAACAAGCGTCTTGGGGAACATACCTCTGCCCAAGAGGGGAAGGACCCATCGGTGGGGTCAGAAGAGAGGCAAAATCGCAGAGGAAACTGATGCTCTTAAGAGATATATCATTTCTTGTTGAAGTCTCTTGAGGCCTGGGCTCAGGGATATGGCTGCTATGCCTACTCCAACCACTTGATCAGGGAGTTCCGCAGCAGCATTTACAAAGAAGGGAAGCTCAACAAGTGTCAGAGCTAGTCGGCCAACTTCCATACATGTGCCCAAGTAGTGCAGCACACTACTAAGGCTCAGAAAATGGAGAATAGGCCCTGGCCTGAGTTCTGATCTAAATTAAGTCGCTGGTGTCAGAAGACAAAGAGGTGACCACATTCCTCGCGTAGAGGGGGGTAAGCCGTATAGGAGTTGAGGGAGACACTTGCTCATGATTTCATGCCTATATAGCCTCAGCTTTGTGCAGTTGAGGCCCCAGAACCTTGTGCCAATGAGGAACCAGAACTGGAATCGACCCAACGGGTGCTGATGATGAGGTGGACAATTGCTCCTAGCCTCCTATTGTCTAGCTTCGTTCTAGTCCATGTATCCATCCACAATTTATGGCCCTTGGACCAATCACCAACCGAGTGTGGAGGTTACATATGCAACTACTTAGCTTTCAGCTTTAACTTTCCAACTTATGGTTCCTTATGACTATCCATACTTTCATTGGAGAATATAGTAAATTACCATGCTGCAACACATGGAGAGCCAATAACTGGACTTGACAATAGAATGATGATGATGAACTCCCAAACGAGGTAGCTACCTCTTTGTTCATTTTCCTTGTAACTCTTTATGCTGCCATTTATATTTTTCAAATCACAACTGAAGCAGCATTTTGCGTTTGTGTTAAGAATCAAATTGAGGGATCAAACTGTCTGACTCTACATTATAGAGACTAAATTGAACCTGAGGAAAAATTATGAGGATTGGTGTGGACTGTCCACTAATTCATTTAGGAGATTCCTAGGGATCAAAACAGATGGAAACAGGCGGGAAACACACTCTCCTGTTTACTGTATTTTTTCTACTGTATTTTTTCTACCGGTAGCGGGAGGAGTGGGATATACGGGTATACAGAAACGGGTAAACACAAGCGGATATATGATGGAAACGAGCAGTAGACGGGAACATAAGCCGGAATTACATGCAGTCATAGATGGTGTATAAATTCATCAACAAACATAAAACAATTACGGGATCAACGTAAGCATGAAACTAGAGATTCCCCATGTAAAGATTGTAAGTGGTTATAAATGGGTACTATGAATATAACTGCATCTATGACTGCGGTTTTTATCTATGGCACACTTCGTCTCCTTTTAATATATAAGTCATCAACAAACATCAAACAATGACTATATCAACATAATGTCTTATTGGCAAGAGTTCCAAATATACATTCATCATAATAAAGCCAGAACTGCAAATAAGATAGTTTGGGAGATATGATCATTAAATGTAATTGATCCTCTCAGGGATGATCATAATTATTATTGATTTGGTTTGCACCATTATTTGGAGAAACTCCATTTCCAAATGCCCCAACTCCGTTGGCATCACCCTAGGAGTATGGTTGACTCAGGCTCTAAGCAAAACATTTAGTTGAGTTGGTCATCAATCATGGACTTCATTTCAACTAACATGTCACGGTATTTTTCCAACTCCTCCAATCCTTTTCCCTCAAAATCGCCAGTCATAATGGGCACCAGTTTTGGATCAAAATTCTTCTCCCGGGCCTTCAGCTCCTCACCTCGGAGTTTTGTAGCCTCTAGCTGTTTCTTCAGCTCCTTCAGCTCTGCTTCCTTTTTCATGAAATGTTGCAGTATAATCATCGTAACAGTGCCTTTGCTATTTCTAGCATCACCTGCAAAGAAACATTCATTATCAGAGTTGATAAAAATAGAATAGTGGTTAAAGTAGTAATGCTTACTGGTCGATGATAAGATCATTACCAGTGTTCTTTTTGTCCATTCTCGATGAACCCTTCACCATCTACTCCAGTACTCAATGTATTCTAGTGTCTTCTATGTATGTGTGAAAATGATGTGCGAAGACTGGTGTTGCAGGATTATGTGGATGGTTTTATATAGAGATTTGTGTGTTAGGTGGTATTGAATTTTATAAGGTTGTATATTTAACGCATTCCAAATTCAACTATCTAAAGATTGGATGTATCCAGCGTCAGTGGATTGGTTGGTGCTTACAAAACGTGCTTTTTATTAGCAGGTAATAATTGCGAATATGCGTATATTTGGTGGGATTTGATATGTGCAAAACTGAACTGCTCAAAGTTTGGGTAGGCCCATTCTAGACGAATAGGTAGAAATGAAGTATAATATTGGTGTAGAAACAAGGTGTTTTTAGCAGGTAATAATAATAATTGCACATATGCGTATATTTGGTGGGATTTGATATGTGAAAAACTGAGCCACTGAAAGTTTGGATACGCCCAATCTGAACTAATAGGTAAAAATGAAAGATAATACTGGCGTAGAAACAAAGGTTCACATTTAGCATACACATTTGCATATATTTAGTAGGATTCAGTGTGTGCAAAAATTAAACTGTTGAAAGTTTGGATACCATTGGGGAAATGGATCACATCACCTACCTTTGTCCCAGTATGACCTCTGAACCATGTGACACAGTAACTAGTTCAGATCCAAAATTAGCCGGAGCCACAGAGGGGAAGCTCCTAGAGGCTCTGAAGGCCCGACTGGGCTGATGTGAGGATTGACTTAGGTGGTTAGTGGAGTCTACCTAAGGCCTTCTGGATGACTTCCCAGTTCCCACATCGGCTGAGGCCTCCACACCAGGAGCCTCGTGTGTTGTCCTCAAGAGACTAACACCTGGGGCCCCACCAAAAGTTACTAGGATGAGGTGAGCCCATGACACGTCACACATTGAGAAGTGTTGGGGTTGGGTTGGTTAGAGAGAGAGAGAGAGAGAGAGTATATATATATAGAGATATATAGAGATTTTCTTTTCTATATATCGAGATCGAATATATAGAAGGCGAGGTTCAAAATCTTGAGAAAATCAAGAAAAATAAGAAAATCTTTCATATCATCTCTTATCACTTGCACAAGTAGAGAGGGAGGGTATTCTTAGGTACATAGCATGCAGGTAAAATGTCGACGAATAGACAATTAGACATGCATGAAAGATAATACCGACGTGATAAACAGGTGGATATTTAGCAGGTAGAAAATTTGTATATTTGGTATATCATGTTCTGTGTATGAAGGACTATGCAAGTTAATTAGAAACTTGTTTGGTGATTAGTGTCACTTGTTTGGTAAGTATTGCTCATTGGAAGTTTTTTACATATATGTGGCAGAAATACATCCATATGCGAGGAATAAGTGTCCTTATTTAACATATTCTACTTGCCTTGGCTACCTTCCTTGCCCTTGCACCCATTGAGTGAAATGCAGAAAACCTTGCCCATTTAGCACAAACAGAGTAGAAAAACAATATCTGCTCTAGTAGGAATGGCGCACTGCTGAAGGAGGACAAATTTGAAAAATTGGGTTTTATCTCTGCAAGAGTAGTTTCAGTGCTTGGTACTCTTATGTTGAAACAACATAGGAGTTCGGTCTTTCAAGTTTACAAATGCTAATGTCGTTGACCTTTTTTGGTTACTGCTTTTTTGGCATGTAAGCTGCATACATAAAGAAATACATCAGTTTCCCCTTTTCAGCTATTTCAGGTTTGACAAATCTGTATGAAGTTGAACCAGAGGATGCACGAATTGGATGTTAGGTGGAAGAAAGAAGCATACATATTTTCTCAAGATATAAAAGACACTTGTCTTGTTTGCTGTTGCAAGTAATTTCTTGTTTTTGTACATGGTTTTAGTTAATACATTAATGTTGCTAATAAACGTGATAATTCTTTTGCGTGTAGGAATGACAGGCGGAGAGCAAGAAGGCGATACATTCTTCGTGTGATTGACCGATCGTTTGTACTCTGTAGCTGTATATATATGGTTATACGAGTACTGCTTTTACTGCTACACTGTAGATTATTTCCAGTTGACAGTTGGCGTACCATAGATTGACATTCAGTGAGTTCTCAGTGGAGTTCTGGTCCAGATTTCCCTTTACTTTGCCTCGCTCGTCCTTTTCACTTGTCCAGTTGTCCATTTGGTTTTGCACTTGCCAACTGTCATGCTGCCGCCTACAAAAAAAGTAGAAATGCCTGCAGCTTTGGCCAAAGCGCTGAGTCGGTCCGAGCTCGTTCACCAATTCTGCGGTTTGATATGAACATTCGACTATGATCTTTTCCCGATAATGAAGTCGTTGTTGGGAGAGAAACAGTTGTTTGGCTGGACTTTAAACCAGTACATGTCCATCCAAGTGGATGGGCTTGATACCACCTCTTAAACTTTAATCCTTGTCACATCGGATGTTTGATATAAATTAGGAGTATAAGACATAGACTAATTATAAAACTAATTACACAGATGGAGGCTAATTTATGAGACGAATTTATTAAGCCTAATTAGTCTATGATTTGACAATATGGTGCTACAGTAAATGTCGGGGACCAATACTAGGGTACCCGAAGAGGAGTAGCTAATAACCGTCAACGTTAATTCATCCGAGCGGTTAAGAGCGTGACTACAGCTCTTGATGACCCCCAGGTATGCAAGCTCCGCCTCGCCCGACCTCCGAGGGCTGGCTCCGCCTCGCTCGACCTCCAAGGATAGGGCTCCGCCTCGGCCGACCTCTGGGTCCGCACTCCGCCTCGACCGACACCAAGGCCGCGCGCTCCGCCTCGCCCGACCTCTGGGGACGGGCTTCGCCTCGCTCGACCCCTGAGGGTTGGCTCCGCCTCGCCCAACACCGAGGCCGCGGGCTCCGCCTCGTCCGACCCATGGGGACGGGCTCCTCCTCGCCCGACACCAAGGTCGCAGGCTCCGCCTCGCCCGACCTCTAAGGGCTAGCTCCGCCTCGCGCCGACCTTTGGGTTTGGCTCCGTCTCGCCCGGCCTCTCAGGAGGAAACTCCGCCTTGCCCGACCCCGAGGCCGGGGACTCCGTCTCGCCCGACGGAGACCCATACCGCCGCCAACCACTCCAGGTCCAAGCGTATGGCACTGGGTCAAAGCTCTGACGCCAGGGAAGAGACTGGCACGCCTCGATGTAGCCCGCGACCCACGATGGGTCATATCTAGGGGGTCACGTCAGGAGCAGCGTCGAACGTGCCGGTGTTGTTCTGCCTAACCCTCGTACGAACACTGACGAGCACGTCAGTTCACCACGACGTCCGCCAGGACGGAGTGGAGCGTCATGACCGGCAGACGACGCCTGCACGTGGCGCTAGTGACGGATAGGGACGCGATGAGAAGCTGTCCCTGTTGACGTCTACAGGGTCGACGGGACCCGCATAGAGGAGAAGAAGGACCCGGCAATCCTAAAGGACTTCTTCCTCTCGTTCTCTTTTCTTTCTTCACTGTAACCCATGCTTTCCCTTGGCCTATAAAAGGAAAAGCAGGGCGTCCCATAAGGGGCATTGCAACACATCACATCCGAACTCGTCTCGAGACCGAACTCGACTCGAATCCGATCAACTCATCAAACCCTTGAAAGCTCTAGTTTGGTTTTGGTTAATTGATTAAACCCTAAGTGCTAACCTAGTTTATCAAAGTGATTGTGAGATAGGTAGCACTACTCTAAGTGATGAAGCAATGGCGAAGATCATGACGATGGTGATGGCATGGTAATGATCAAATGCTTGAACTTGGAAAAGAAGAAAGAGAAAAACAAAAGGCTCAAGGCAAAGGTATAAATAGTAGGATCCATTTTGTTTCAGTGATCAAGACACTTAGCGAGTGTGATCACATTTAGGTTAGATAGCCGTACTATTAAGAGGGGTGAAACTCGTATTGAAATGCGATTATCAAAGTACCACTAGATGCTCTAACTCATTGCATATGCATTTAGGATCTAGTGGAATGCTAACATCCTTAAAAATGTTTATGAAAATATGCTAACACATGTGCACAAGGTGATACACTTGGTGGTTGGCACATTTGAGCAAGGGTTAGAAACTTCACCGGTGGAGTGTCCGCCCGTAGTGTACGGACAGTCCGATGGTGCCACCGGCGCCCTATACATAAAAGATAGGGGTTCACAGAGTGACCGGACGCTGGTGGTGCAGTGACCGGACGCTGAGGTCTAGCGTCCGGTCAGTGACAACAGAAAGCACACTGTCTCGGTCTTGTGACCGGACGCTGGAGTGTAAACTGACCGGACGCTCATGGTCTGAGTCCGGTCAGTGCTGACGTACGTTGACGTGAGGCGCACAGAGGAAATGTTGAATGACCGGACGCCGGGTGAGTCCGGTCGAGCATGACCGAACGCGTCCGATCGTGAAATTTTGTGTTTGGGACCTTACTGGAAACGACCGGACGCTGGGGTCATGCGTCCGGTCACTTTCTAACTGACGCGTCCGGTCATCACTTGACTGTTGAAATCGGGCGATCGGTGTTTGAAGCCGATGACACGTGGCGCACATCACACGACCGAACGCTGAGGTCCAGTGTCCGGTCAATATGATCGGAGCATCCGGTCGGCCCGTGTTCAGTGTGACAGAACCACCCAATTTATACAAGATCAAGTATGGTTGTCCCCGCTAACACGTTGACACGCGCATACTTTCACTTATATAAACCCGGTAGTCTGCCGAGTGTCTCGAAAGACCTCGGTAAATCAACATCACAACCAAGATCGCGTGATTAAGCAAATACACATCACATACGCAGGGTTGCAGCAGAAATAATGTTACAAAGGGATTCACAAATAATAGTACAAGTTTGGGTTTCAAAACCAATTATTGAAAACAACATAGCTTTCAAATGATTACATTAATATAAGTTCCAAATACATTGCTAGCATAAGTGACATCCTCAGACAAAAACATATAGATGAGAAGTAAATATAGAATCACCGAGCCCACCGGCGGTTAGCCACCATCATCAACAGGT